TAATGTGCCTGTTTCGCCATATAGTACTATTTAGGTATCCTGCCAGTCTGTTTACTTTTTGTACTCGATCTCTCACTTCTTTGTCCAGGTCTCCATAGCTAGACAGTGTACAGGTATTTTATTTGCATCACTTGTTCAATACTGATGTTATTAATTTCTATTTTACATCTGGTTGGTTCTTTGCTGACTACTATTATTTTAGTTTTCTGAGATGAGATGGTCATATTAAATTCTTTTGCTCTTATGTTAACTCTGTGGACCAGTCTCTGTAGACTATCATTATTTTGGGTTATCAATATTGCGTCGTCTGCGTAACAAAATATTTTTATTTCTTTGTTTCTATTTTTTATCCTCTTCCCTTGTTAACGCTTTTGATGCTTAAATCCATGATCAAATTTAAAAGCATGGAGCTCAACAAATCTCCTTGTCTTATTCTGCTGCCGATTTCTATAGATTCTGTAGGTTGTCTATATATTCTGACTACCATTTTTTTATTTTGGTAGATCTTTTCGATAATTTTTACAATATTTACTTCTCTATTATACAGAAGAAGCATTATATCTTTAAGTCTTACTCTGTCAAACTTTCTTTAGGTCAATCAGTCACAGAAATGCTGGTCTATTATACTCTACTGATTTCTCAGTAATTTGATTTATAACGAATATTGCGTCTACAGATTGAACGAAATAAATTCGGAACATATTAAACATCATGTATTTCGGCTCATTTCTGCTGTAGGAGGTTGGCCAACAAAAGGTTGTCAAATAATTATATTATAAAAACCCAATACTCTGCAGGCTGCTGGATTCTAAACTTATAAAAATTTAAAGCTACACATAAATCTACGATTTTATTATGGTGTCAAACTACTTATAGTCCAGGAAATGAAGCATTTCACCTCGTAATTTTTTCGTCCTGCGTGGATTAACTTGAAATTTTAACAGAAGGTAGGTAATAGCCTAAGCATCAAAATCTATATCGAACCAAAGTGCGCCAAAGCCTTAGGAGTGGTTGCCACCCCATCCCGGGGGTGAAATTTTTTTTTACGTTTGAACTACAGGTTTCGATTAAAAAAGTGATTATAAACAAAAAATGTTTTATACATTTTTTTTTTGTAAAACTGATATTTTTCAAGTTATTCGCGATAGAAAGTAACAACTTTTAGACGAAAAAATCGACGTTTTTAATCGATTTTTCGCGACTAACTCGAAAATGGTGCATTTTATCAAAAAATTGTAGAGAACAAATTTGTAGCCTTTAAAAAGACAAATACAATTCATTTTTTAAAATGTTTTTGCGATATAATAGGAACCAAAATACGGCCTATCAATGTTCAGCAGTTTTTTTCAAATGCCAAATTTGAAAGATTCAAAGTCAAATATTGGAAAAATGATGCATTTTTGGAAGAAAACTCACGCAACCTTTTTTAAAAAGCATAAATAGATCTATCATAAAAGAAGACTCTAGCTCAAAAATTGAGTGAGTTATGATGAAAATAAGGCCAATACCTAATTTTTTACGAAAAAATCGATGAAAACAACCCCCTAACCATTCCCATAATTAAAATCGATCTTCACCCTTCTGCAATTCTCTTTGTACATGTATTGTTAATACGTCCAAGAAGTTTGACCCATTTAAAATGCTTAGTTTTAGAAAAATTACAGCTTAAAGCGAGAAACGATTTACAATTTCATATTGTTTACCCTTCTTTTTTTTAAAATATCCCCAAAAATACTAAATATATGAAAGAAATAATAATGTACTAAATTGTAGCTTTTTTAATGACTAAAATTTTCCTTTATTTAAATTTGTTGTTCAATTAATATTTGGCGAGATATAGCCGTTTAAAGCATCGATTTACGATCAAGCACCATCTTTTTCGAGCCCTTTAAACTCATCCCATTTAAAAACCAAGGGTTCCAAAGAGATTTAATTTAAAGATCCTTGTAGCTGTTAAAAACCTCTACAAAATCGTTTTTGAGGAAACACTCTATCGTTAAAAATGAAGGAAATACGTTAAAAAACCAATTTTTTTTTCGGAAAATTCCATTAGTATAGTACAGTACATTTTGGAGCATAATAATCTACAAAACCTATTAGGTAGTAAAGCGTTATACATTCAAAATTTTAAGCGTTCTTATTTTGAAATCCCATACAACAGAATAAAACATTTGCCCATATGTTTATGGCTTGGCAATGAAAATATCAGAGCAACAGACTGGGGATGGTATTCCAAAGATGGTTTGTTATTACCCGTACGCATAAACAAACAACCTGCACCCGATGAACTTTTGAAAATTATTTTTTGCCAAAGCAAAAAAGGATGCGGCGTTTCATGTCAGTGCAGAAAAGATGGTTTATACTGTTATTTTACTTGTTCTGGGTGCTCAGGTGAAGGGTGCAATAATAGTACACCAATAATTGAAGAAGATGAGGATGACATAGATCACGATGAAGATGTAATTGTTGACGAATAAAATTAATAATATAAATGTTTTACCTATAAATGTAAATATTTTCAACTATTTATGTAAATGTATAAGAATATATGGTGCCTTTGTGATGTTGATAAATTTTTTTGTATTTAATTCTACTTTTTTCAATCTATATCTATTAAATTAGTTTATAAACTGCACCCTTTACCACTGCAATGTTGTAAAGGGTGATTTTCAAAAGTTGAAAAGTTGCAAAATTGATTTTTAAGGATTGATAATGTATGAAATTGTATTTTAAAGTATAAAAAAATCACTATTTAACTAATCCAAAAAAAATTCACTCATCTTAAGATTTGTAATGTTATTTTACAATTTTTGAAAATTAGGGGTAGTTTTCACCCCTAAGAACAATCAGGGTTCATCGGCATGACATAAACTATAAAGCAGAGGGTGAGTTAAGCTTAATTCCAATTTTTTATACAAATCGTTCCAAGGCATAATCATTTTCTTCGCATTACTAAATTTTTTACAATAATCTCTAATAAGGGTCGCTTTTTAAGGGTTGAAATATGATGGAACTTTATTCAAAAGCACGAAACTATCATTATTTAATTAATTCAAACCAAATTTTACCCATATTCAGGTTTAATATGTTTTTTTATTATTTTTGACAATTAGGGCTAGTTTTCACCCCTAAGAACAATCAGGATTCGTCTACATGACATAAACTATAAAGCAGCGGGTGAATTGAGCTTAAATCCGAATTTTTATCCAAATCGATCCAAGGCGAAATCATTTTTTTAGAATTAGTATTTTTTTTACATTAATCTCTAACAAGGGTTGCTTTTTAAGGGTTGAAATATGATGGAACTCTATTCAAAAGTATAAAATAATCATTATTTAACTAATTCAAAGCAAATCTTACCCATATTCAGGTTTAATATGTTATTTTATAATTTTTGACAATTAGGGGAAATTTTAACTCCTAAAACCATTCAGCGCACTTCGGTTCGATATAGATTTTGATCCTTGGGCTATCACCTACCTTCTGTTAAAATTTTAATTCATGCAGGACGAAAAAATTGCGAGGTTTTAACTTTTTTCGAGCTTCATTTCCTGAACTATTAAAAACTTCCTTAGACAAGCAACATTGTTACACAAACAACATTGTTGCGAGACAGATAGTTGAACGATATTTTATACAATGTCTAAACCCAGGTATGGATTTATTTTTGTCCAAGTTTTATATTGGTCCACTATTTCAAATGCAGTTCAAACAGACATATACATTGTATGTGCCGTTTTAAATTCGTTCTATCTGTATACACGATCTTCCACTACAAAAACCTTCTTGTTCATATGCTAAACTTATTCTCTGATAAACTTTAAAATTTTAGTTGTAAGTTTTAGCGTAGTATTTAACAAGTTTATACATCTGTAGTTTTTTGGCTGTTGTTATCTCCTTTTTTGAATAGTAGAATTAGTTCGCTCATTCACCATGTTTCTGGTATTTTATTGTGTTTTATAATTTTATTAATTAATGTTTTTAATTTTTTCGTCATCTCTGCTCCACAATATTTCAGTAATTCATTTGGTATCCCACCTTTACCTACTGCTTTTCTGTTTTTAGGTTTTAAAGTATTTTTCGAACTTCCTATACATTTAGATTTCAGGTTCTAGCGTCATTTGTTCTTCCTCTACATAGAGTTTTTATATGTAGTCAATCCACGTTTCCTTTTTTATGTGTTTTGGTTGTCTTAGTTCCTTTACCTTCGTTCTTTGACCCCTTATGAAGCGCCATATTTCCTTTTGAAGACAGTAAAAATCATATTTTATTTATTTCGAAAAGCATTCCTATTGATCATTTTTTTTATTTTTCTTGCAAGTGCATGTGTTTCGTTTCTAATTGTCTTGTAATTATGGTATGCCCCTTGTGTTAAAAGTGACATGTATTTCAGGTAAGGTTTTTTCTTTTCTTTACATTTTTCCTTCACTTCTCTACAAAACCATAAAGTTCTTTGCCTTGGGAACAATTTATTTTTATATTTTTATTTACATTTCTTTCTCGAAGAACTTCCTTAGCCGAAGCTAAGATATTACACTTAAGTTATGCCCAGCTTTTTTCGACTCCATCACTTTATGTGATATATGTGTTTTTATTCAGATTTTGCACAATACCAATTGATGATCGCTTCCTATTTCTGCTGATGTTAGTGTTCTTACATCTAAGATTTGAGAGGGTTATAACTCTCTATTTGACAGAATATAGTCTATCATAGATTTTTGTCCTCTACTGTCTTCAAAAGTGTATTTGTATTGTTCTTTGTGAGGGAAAAATATATTATTAATATGTATTTTGTTTATGCTGCAGTAGTGCGTCAGGTCTCCGTTTTCATTTCTTATATGTTCATTATATCGCTGTTTTATTCCTGGAACTATATCATAGCCAACACAGGAGTTAAAATCTCCCATAATGATTAATTATTCTATCTTTTATTCTTGTCTTTTATTTACTTGAATATAAGGTTGCTTGAAATTAACAAGAAGAAAATAAAAACAATTATAGATATTTATTATATATTTATTGATATTTCATTTATTTATATATGCAAATTCTGACATCTGGCCAAAATAATACATTAAACAAAAGCAAAGAAAAAAGCGACAATATTTTTTTTATTAATCTATTGTAGGGGAGAGTTACCTAAGACGGGACGGTTCTCAAGTAGGGACACTAGCAATTCTAGACAATCTGTAACAAGTGGCAACACCTGCAACGGAAGAATGAAATCTCGCCATTCAGTCGTATTGTCACGTAAACGACACGAGGCTAGCATACCGGTAGCGTTCGTCAGAACAAGTTGTTAATGTTTACATATTTTTTAAAATTCATTTACGTACAACATTATAGTGAATATGGCGTTAATGGTAAGTATCTGTGAAACTTAACGTTATTAGTCAATAACAGAGTTTATAGTCATTGCATTTCACTGTAAAGTATTTGCCACTAAAGCTTTTGTTTAATATCGGTTAAGATTTTTACAAAATGGGTGCAAATCTCTCAAGATGGGACAAAGTTAAACTTCCTAAGTCGGGACGTCCCATCTTAGGAACTAAAATATGGCTACAGATATTCTTCTTATACTTGCAACTTTTAACTAATTAAATCATTAATTACTCATAAATTCTTATTCTGAATAAAACATAAAATGTTTTATTCAGTGAACTTTATATCTCGTAAGTGGCACTGATATATTTTTCTTTTAAAGAGGCCAAATAGAAATCCAAATTCCTATTACAAAAGAAAAACTGATCGTGGAAACTGGTCCGTTCAAAATATGATTCTAGCTGTACAAAAAGTTCGGAATAACGAACTATCGCTTCGAAAAGCTGCTGACAGATATAATATTCCTAAAAGTAGTCTTCAAAGACGAGTTACAAACAAAAATAAAATCGTGACCGAAAATGACAAATATCTTGGTCGGTTTAGGCAAATATTCTCAGTTGAACAGGAACACGAAATTTTAAATCATATTCTTAAAACGGAAAAAGCGATTTTTTGGAATCACTTATAAAAAACTTCGTTGTCTGGCATTTGACTTTGTCCAAGCCAATAATATTGCTAACAATTTTAATAAAGATACTCGAATGGCCTCTAAAAAGTGGGTTTATGGGTTTTTGAGTAAACATAGACATAGAAATATTTCTCTGAGAAAACCAGAAGCAACCTCATACGCTAGAACTACAGGATTTAAAGTTTTTTCAACAACCTGGAAAATATTTATAATAAACATCACCTCACTCCAGATAGAATCTGGAATATTGATGAGACCGGAGTGACCACCGTCCAAAAATTATCTAAAGTTCTTGCTCAGAGGGGTAAAAAGCAAGTGGGAGGTTTAACAAGTGCCGAAAGAGGAGATAATGTCAAAGAGCTGCTATGAGTGCAAGTGGCAATTTTCTTGCGCCTGCTTTTATATTTCCCAGAAAGAAAATAAAACCAGAGCTGATGGACAATGCACCTAATGGTAGACCGGCATTTCCACAGGACAAAGGATGGATAGATCGTGATGTTTTTTAAAATTCATAAAATATTTTGCACAACAAACCAGACCTTCGAAGGAGTGCAAAATTCTTATTATTTTGGACGGACATTATTCACATACAAAAAGTTTAGACGTTATAAACTTCTGTCGCGAGAATGGTATTATTTTATTATGCACATAATAAACTGCCACCACACTGTACGCATAAAATGCAACCCCTAGATGTTTCGTATTTTAAAATCATTTATGAGTTATTATGATTTGTATCTTACTAGATGGCCAAAAAATCGTTGTGGTCGTACATTTGGAATAACAAATCTCAGGGGCTGTTGCAGAAGCATTCTCAAAGGCATCTTCTGTACAGATAGCGACAAATGGATTCCGAGTAACCGGAATTTGGCCTTTTAACGAAGACGTATTTCAAGACTGCGAATTCGCTCCCTCTAAAACGACGGAACAATCAGTAGACAATGAAACTACATCATAGGTATGATAATCCGATTCCTTCAACCTTAAAAACAGTCTGTTTTAAGGTTACCTAAAGATGGCGATTCCGAAGATAACAGACCGATACAGAGAAGCCAAATCATTCCTATCCAATTTCCGACATCCAAGGTAAAAGTGACTGATATTAGTCCGCTACCAAAGGCATAGAAAAAGAAAGGTAAGACTTCTTCTAGACATTCTCTGAAATACACGATACTCACAGAATCGCCGTATAAAAATGAATTAGAGACGTTGCAATCCACAATCCCTACTAACAAGGTTAAATTTGTGAAACGAACTGTAGTTATGGACCACAGCGCTCGAAATGCAAATATTAGCAATATCACAGTCGTCACTTCAACTAAAGATGATTCAAACCGCATTGTATGTGGAAAGATGTACGTAGAGAGTAGTGAAGACTGGTACAACTGCAAAATATGTTCAAATTGGGCTCATGAGTCTTGTGGAGTAATGGATGATCTCTATTTTATTTGTGGAAGTTGTATAGAGTAATGTCCCTTTTTGAGAAACCGAACGGACCATCTTAGGATTCCGGTTTCTTATGATGGGACATTCACACTTTTTTTTTAATAACAAAAAACGAATTATATTTTTTATTTTTTATTTAGTTTATATCTAAAATGTGTTAAGAATTAGAATAAAGTTTCATTTTATTACCTCAACTTTTTTTTAATATCTATAGATTTTCAAGTATTTGTTATAAAAAAAAACTGTCCCAACTTGGGTGACTCTCCCTAATTTTCTTTTTTTAGTACCACTCTCTTCTTTCACAGCAGGTTCCTGCTTGAGCCCATACTCTCTAAAATCAATATTTAAAGTGTTAATTGTAACTTTAAAAACAAGTACTTATGTTATTGATTAAATGCATTTGAATTATACAGTGCTAGTTAAAAGTCCGTTCCCCTCGTATCTTTTAAACGGTTATTGTTATAATAGTGAAATTTGGAGGGAGGTAATAAACAGACGTAGGTTTCTTAACTAGTCATAAGAAGTAAGTGACAGATGACGTTACAGCGCTTATGTGACAGATAAATTTAAATAGGACCTTATGGCAAATGATACCTTGTTTTAAAGATATTGAAAATACCTATTTAACGGTACTAATTTTATTGCAGGTTAAGCTCATTTTGATGAATAAATTAAATAAATTCTAAAATTGTAGTTTCGCATTTAATTAATAAATAATTCTTTAAAGTTGTTCAATTCTCTACTAGAAACTACAATTATTTTAATATATCTATGTAATTATACTAATTTTGTTTGGATTTAAAATAATTTTGACGAATAAATTAAATAACTACTAAAATTCTAATTTGGATTTAATTAATAAAAATTCTAACCTCCATCTTTGGTTATTTGTCAAAAAAGTTGACGTTTTTCAATTCTCTAGTTGCTTTTAGTTTGCAAAAGCATTTATTGCTCAATATTTAGTTTCTGTTTCTATTTTTTTTTTAGTCAATTCAAGTTTTGTCAAGTTGTTTTTAGTTAGTTGTTCTTAGTTATTATTTAGTTTACTTTAACGATACGATTAAATTTTTACAAAGGCAGAATGGTACGTATTGTAGCCAACAAAGTAGCAGCTGTGTTAATAATTGGGGAATGTGGATATTCCCATGCAGCGGAACGTATTTTTATTAGGAGGTACCCTGATCGTCCTGCATCGATAGCTTATTAGAGGAAGCTTCTTCGGAAGTTTAAACAAACAGGTAGTGTTCAAGATGTCCAATCATCTGGTCGACCAACAATTATTGATGGCAAAAATTAACATAATTTCAGATGGTATTGAACCCTACTTCTTCTACAGCCCAAGTTGCATATATCTATGGAATCAGTTAATAAACTACAGTACACCGAGTGTTGGTTAAAAAGAAATTTCATCCATACAAATTAAAAATTGTGCACCAACTTTCAGATAATGACCCCAACCGAAGACTAGAATTCTGTGAAAATACGTCCAATAAAATTAATCAACAGCTCCGTTACATAAAAACAATTTGTTTTAGAGACGAAAGTACTTTTTTCGCTCTCCTTCCTTTATGTCGTTGTCTTTCATTTCATTCATTTCATTCATCACTGAATACAATGGCAAAACTACTGCCACTGTTGAACCGCCTAATGTGTTTTAAGCCGCGCGGCAGCCGACGAGGCGCAGACTCGGCGCAAACCGCCCTGTCTGTGTTTAACTTTAAGCTTCGGATAGAATTTAAAATTGACCCTAATGTAACGAAAGACTAAGGGTGCTGTAATTATTGTTCTGTTTTAAACATTTGGTTTCTTTTAAACTAATTGGTTTATTAAATCTATATTAAAAATTAAATTCTTTGCAAATACCTTATGAAGTTTAGTCGGCTTTCAATACTTACCTATAAAAAACGCCAACCTTGTCAAACATTTTCTTTGCTTGTATTGTAGATTGTTTCTTGGCATATTTATCAGATAAGTAAACAACTTCTTTAATCCCTGCTTCTATTACATCTTTCGCGCATTCATTGCAGGGGAATAAAGTGACGTAGATAGTACAACCATTAATATCAGCAGTTTTATTTAGTATAGCACACTTTTCAGCATGGATAACTAAAATAAAGAATTAAGTAAGGAAATAAAGTATTGGACAATGAAAATTTGTTTATATTGCTATTGATGAACTTACCCATAACTTACTGTTTATCGCAGAACTTACTTCCGTGGCTCAGTATCAATTATGTTGAATTTACAAGTATGAGGACAAAAAGAAATAAAAATATACACAAACAAGACTATATGTACCTTTTATTAATAAATAATTATATTATCATGGAAATTCAAATATACCAGCTGCATTCAAATATACCAGCCAAAATAGATGTATAAAAAAAACAAGATTATATTATGTAATTATAAGTATAAATAACAACAGATCATATGACCCTAATGTTCTCTCCGGTCCTATAAATTTGTATAAAAAAACTGTCTCTATTCAATTCTATGAAAGTTACAGTATTTTAGCCACGTTATGAGAGGGGATAAATATGTGTTGCTATAAACCATAATGCAGGGTTGGAAAAAGACGCATCTCCTGGCTCAACAATCTGAAGAAAGTAGTATAACCCTGCGTCACTCGCGCTATGAGTATTTCTCTCACACCTACCAGTAAAATGCAAATTTTATTAACGGTAAATCACGCATACTGCTACCCCCACTTCTAGCTGAGTTTCTAAGGGTCTTCGTTGTTACGCTTGAGCGCATGCAATATTTAGTGCATGTTGGTAATAGATATCGGGCACTTGTCGATCGTGTGCAGATCTCTGTGAGAATTTCTCTCATCGCGCAAGTTCTAACGTAGTATATTTTCTTAAGGTTGAATAAAGTTTTGGTAAGTAAATTTAAGATTTTTTTATACATAACTACTTTATTTGCTTTTTAAATAAGGTCAAGGTGTTCTATTATTGTGGTATTGTTATTTTAGATAGTAAACAATGAGTAGAGGACTGACGCTTGCAGAATTAGGGCGAATTCGATATGAAGAGGCACAAAGAGAAGGTATGTCAGCTAACATACCATGGAGTGGGCAAGAGGAATGTCAAAATCAAGAAATTATGGAAGATGGCGGACGAGTGGATGTTGAAAGTGACGCTTCCAGTGAACATAGTATGCATAATACCGATTCCGAACAATCTGATGTAGAAGTTGAAAATTTTGTTTATGAAGTTGACGATAATCCCGCATATACATCAAAACATCATTTCACTGGTAAAGACAAAAAAACTCACTGGATGGCTTATCCTCCACGACCTAACGTAAGAGTGCCTACAAAAAATATTGTTAGTCATCTTCCCGGAGTAAAAAATATTGCAAAAGATGCAAATACTGTCGAAGCATGCTGGGAATTATATATTACAAAAGAAATGGTTGAAGAAATCGTACAATGCACAAATATCTATCTAGCAAAAATACGAGGTAACTATACGAGAGAAAGAGATTGCCGTGACACAGACGCTACAGAAATATATGCTTTTATCGGCCTCCTATACATGGCTGGGGTACGAAAGGCTCAATATCTAAATACTAAAGAACTTTGGGCTGATTCAATATTTGCTCCTGCTTGCTTTAGACTAACGATGTCACGAGAACGATTTCATATTTTAGGAAGAGCACTAAGATTTGACAATATCAATGACCGAAACGAAAGAAAAAAATACGATAATTTGGCTCCCATTCGAAACATATTTGAACAGTTTGTGTCCAAGTGTCAAGAAAACTACCAAGTTGGAGAGTATTGTACAGTGGATGAAATGTTGGAAAGCTTTAGAGGGCGATGTAAATTTCGGCAATATATAGCCAACAAGCCGGCCAAATACGGCATTAAAATATATGCCTTAGTTGACTCAAGGATGTTTTATACCTGCAATATGGAGATATATGCAGGAAAACAGCCAGTTGGCCCTTTTTATCTAGACAACTCTGCATCTGCTGTTGTTATGCGTATAGCAAATCCCATATTAAACACAGGTAGAAATATAACTATGGACAATTATTTCACGTCAGTGCCGTTAGCCAAACAATTACTTGATAGGAAAACTACACTTGTTGGTACCCTAAGGAAAAACAAGAGGGAAATTCCGCCAATATTTATAAATGTGAAAAGACCTGTACCTAGTAGCATGTTTGGTTTCCGAAAGAATACTGTATTATTATCGTATAAACCCAAACCTCAGAAAAACGTATTGATGTTATCTACATTTCATTCTGGGGACTACATCGATCCTGAATCTGGCGAACTGGAAAAACCTGAGATCATTACATTTTATAACCTAACAAAAGGAGGTGTCGATGTGGTTGATGAATTAAAATCAACTTATTCTGTTTCCAGATATTGTTGCCGATGGCCACTTAGAATTTTTTTTACAATTTTGGACGTTGCTGCTATTAATTCCAATATTGTATATAAAAGTAATACCGAAGTTATTGAAGAACGTAGAATTTATCTCAATCATCTGGCCGAAGCTTTGATTAAACCTCTGTTGATTCGTCGTTCATCGATCAGGTCTTTGCCAATTAATATTCGAAGCATGCTAAGGGAATATTTAAATATGCCTCAGATTGAACAGAACAGAGAATCTGTTCCAGATTTCTGTGGATTTTGTCCAAGAAGAAAGAACAGGAAGTCAAAAAAACGATGTGTTAGCTGCAATGTTGCCATTTGCACGGAGCATACCACCTTCACATGTCCAACGTGTTCTGGCGTAAACGATAATAGTGGTACTTCAGATGATTAAATTTTTGATTAATATTATGTTTATTTTATCTGATTTAAGGATAACATTAATTTAAAGATAGATGTAAAATAAAATATACAGGGTATTTTTTTTTAGTTCTTAGCATTGTATAAGTTTTCTTTTTAGTATTTTTAATGTACTTATAACTCTATTTTTGGCATTTATTTTAAATAAACCCTTTTATTATTACCAATAGTTTTGTTTCATTTGCATAAAAAAAAATAAAAACAGTTACACCGAACAAAATCTTGAAGGGTTCGTCGTGTGAGAGAAATTCTCACGCGCGAGTTCTCGCGTAATTTTTTAAGGCGCGAGTGATGCAGGGATAATTGAAGTTCCGTCGACTTGTTCAGAGCTGCAATCTCAAAAGTAAAAATAGCTGTGATGATTACCAACCTCCTTAGAGGAGATGGTACCTAAAGAAGAATTCAATTCTATATCCAAAAACAAAAACTTCGCTCTAAATTTCTGGGCCTATCTTTTGTTTTCAATAAAAAAACTAAACTTTATATTGATTCTCCTTATGCTGTTTCTCCACTCCTCCAAATCTCGTTTACTCTCGTACCAGAACATAATTATATGCGGCCTGGCCTCAAATAATTCTTATATTCAAAGTGAAACTTACAAATTTTGGATTTGAAGATTTCATCTTACACTGCCACGGCTTTCTGCTGCCACAAACAACTTCACAAACTTTCTTTCACGATTGACCACTTTATCTCGCTACGTCCACATTTTTTTTCTTATTACAGGAAACAACCTTTTCTCTTGCAGTTCTCTCTTAGACTCCCTTTTTTTTACTTCTTCAATCCCTCTCTCGAACTATTCAAATCACTTAAAAGAAAAATATTCTACCCTCTCCTCTCTTTTTCTTGTCAAACTTTCCTTAACTCACCATACTGTATTTTAATAGAATCCACTATAGTCAGAATCCAGAAATCTAGGCAGTAAATTCTTGGAAGTAATAGTGACGGTTCATCGCTATTGTAGGTCTTCCAATGGCGTACGAAAAATGTCATAAGAATTTACGACAAAGCTACTTGCATTAAATAAATATGTACCTATTTATAATTATGTTAATTTTAATATGATTATTATTGACATTTGGGTTATTATATATATTAATATAATATACATGGTGTTTGGCAACGAATGGCCATAACTTAGTCTTAGATTTCTCAGATTAAAATAGGCCGATTTAAACTAACTTACTTTAGTACGAATGTTGATAATAACCAAAATAAAGGGTGGCAAAGGTAAACTTTTATTTTTGAATATTTCATGACAGGCATGGTATAACAACACGAAATTTGGAAAAAAAGCTGGAGTTTTTTGGGATGAGAAATCTAAATTAGCCACTAAAAATGATGAAGAACACCACATACGTCTTTCAGTTCTCGTTTAATACGTTAAATTTTTTTATCTCCCACTGGACATACTTTAAGAATCAAAACTTTTATTCTCTTAATATTTTTACTTAGAAAAGATATACTACATCGCCGTACAACTCAATACTTTCTATTATTGTTTTATAAATTTGAGTTATAGGTAATGGATTTTAACAAAAGCTATGACCTTGTAAATAATAGGTAAACTTGTGTACTGCCTCGGCATGACTCATAGCTCTTGTCAAAATCCATTACTTCTAATTACAATAAATAATAATTTTAGGTTAGAAGGTAATAGTTATACCTCCCTAAAACCTAAAAGTGTATACAGAATTGTAAACAATTTTAAACAAAGTGAAGGCAAAATGGATGATGGACCTGTTGAAACAATTTAAACCAAAGGTAGAAACCGCATCCAGCTTAAAGATCATACCAAATATGCTATTCGGAGGAAATTCCATGCTTTCTTTTTTCGGAACGAAATCCCAACCTTAAAGAAAGTTGAAGTTGAAATAAATTCCGATAATTCAATAACCAAAATATCACGACGTGTTTTCATAGGTTTAAAAACACCAGTGGGTAAAGGACGGAGGCTCATAATAACACATATAGGCAGCGATTCGGGTTTTTTGAAGAAGGATGGTTTTCAAATATTCTACCAAACCTTGAAGCAAATTCTGTCGTTGTTATGGACAATGCGTCATACCACAGTCGACGGTTGGAGCTATCACCAACGACTACCTGGCGAAAAGGTGAAATAATCAACTAGCTCTCTCTAAAAAATATACCATTCGATGCCAATATGTTGAAAGTACAATTATTAAAACTCGCGAGGATACATACATCCGTTTTCAAGAACTATTTAGTCAATGAAATGGCTCTTGCAAACAACATAATTGTACATCGCCTCCCTCTTTATCATTGTGAGCTG